TTTTTTACACTGTATATGTAGAAAGACAGACTGGTATAGATATTCATGCAAAAACCTAAATACATTCAGAAAATAGGATTGCATATAGTAATTATTCAAAAAAAAACGATCGATTGAACTCGCTGAGAACTGAAATGATCGATGGATGGACCTCGCTGAGAACTGAAATGATCGATGGATGGACCTCGCTGAAAACTGAAGTGATCAATGGAACTCGCTGAAAACTGAAGTGATCGATGGAACTCGCTGAAAACTGAAGCGATAAGATGGACCTCGCTGAAAACTGAAGTGATCGATGGAACTCGCTGAAAACTGAAGTGATCGATGGAACTCGCTGAAAACTGAAGTGAGCGATGGAACTCGCTGAAAACTGAAGTGTTCGATGGAACTCGCTGAAAACTGAAGCGATCGATGGAACGCGCTGAAAACTGAAGCGATCGATGGAACGCGCTGAAAACTGAAGCGATAGATGGAACTCGCTGAAAACTGAAACAATCGATCGATGGATGGACCTTGCTAAAAACTGCTGTGACATTTCCCACATTCAAGCGTAGATGTGTGATTAAAGTAGTCTTTTAAAATAGTACTGTAAAATCTGTATTAGAAGCCGCGACTTCTATTAAAATGTTACAATGCAACAGAGGGGATGCGGCTTCTATTAGAGCATCCACACATATGAGAAATGATGAATTTTTGGTTCTCAATTGTTCAAAAAGAATGGGTGCGACTTCTATTAGGGTAGATTCTTTTTTTTTTACCAATATATTTTTTTTAGATGAAAGTTAGTCTGGGGACGCTATGGAAATCCTATGATCACAATCGAGGGCTTGGAATGTGCTCGTCCTTCCCATGTGTTGAGAGGGATTCACCAGATACAGGTTTATTCATCCTTGACTGTCTATAACAGTGGATATTGTGCATGCTTCTGCAAAGTATATGGTAGCTACACAGATTTACTTTTGCCTTCATTGTTCTCCTTAGCATTTGTTGTTTTGTTGTTTATGTTGATGAAGTGAAGAGGTCACACAGAATCCAATAATGTAATTATTCATGTATGGAAAAGACCCCCCCCCCCCCAAAAAACAAAAAACAAAAAAACAACGCCCTCTTCGGATCAATTTTCAACCCACAATCCTTTGCAAAATCCAATATGGTGGAAACGCATTCATTTCTGCCTTATGGAGTGCTTACATTGTAGTTTTGTTTCAAAACTGCCACACACAGTACGGTCCGAGTGTAACTTAACTTCCAAGCTGGCTTTCAGCTGGCTTTGACTTTTTGTGAAAAAAAAATGTGAAATTGACCAACATTTACAATTTGGGATATATGACGGTTTTGAAAACTGAACGATCTAAATAAATGACAAGTTACAATTGGACTGTATTGTATGTAAATTATGCAGAGTAGTCTGCTCAACTATGGCTCATATTTGTGACAGAAAATAAAAACTATCCGGCTTGGAGTTAAGGCTGCTCAATACAGATTTACAAATGTGTTTTAATTCTTGCGAATATATTGCGTAATTCCAAACAAGGTTATATGTGAAAAACACAGTCCTAATTTTTGAGGTAAATGTAGATCGCAGAAAACATGGAACTATTTGATGGAAACAGTAAAACAAAGTCCGTTTAACTAGAAAAAAATGTTTAAGATTTTTTTTAAAAACTCTAGGTGATGAAATAATTTGTCTGAAACTACATTTTGAAAAAAAAAAAAAAAATAGGAGGCATAGACCTATTTGTAAAGAAATAATAGTTCTAGTAGTTTGACCCTTGGAGTATTCTCATGCAAAAACTCATCTACTTCAAACCCACTACATTCGGGATCAAAGAAAGCTTAGAAAGACCTCCCAGGCGCTAAAGGTATCTGAGGCATGAAGTACAAATACTGTAACATTAAAAACACATTTTCAATACACACAACGCAAATATTTGGTTTATTGCATGCAAAATCATTGAAATACGTGTCATTTTGACCATAGACATGTTCTTGTCATTTATATTTGCACAA